AGCGGCACTGCACTTTCACCATCCGGGCACGTCTTGGAAGCCTGCTAGTACATGACTCTATGTGTCTGGGATCCATGTGGGGAAGGTGGCAGTAGGCGCAGGCGTTTCCGTTCTCGCAGTGCCCAGCCAAGAAGTAGATGCAAGGCCTGCGGCAGACCTGCCACCAAGGCATACCAAGGCCACACCCTCCCACCGGCCGGAAGACAGGAAGCAGAAGCATTCAGGCCTCCGGGTGACCCAAGCTGCCGTGGCTCGGCAGCAGCTCAGCAACACGCCGATCGAGCGAACTGCTGCGAGGGGTTCCTGTCGATCTGGATGCGTCTCCCAAAACTGTGAGCTTACAAAGACACCTTGCCTTCCATGAAGGTGGCAGGGCTGTCATCTGTATTGGTTGACTGCCCTGGGCTCCAATCACCTTCAGCAGCGGTTCAGGCGGCTGCACAGCACGCTACGCTGACATCGCATCGCACGGCCTTCACTCTCGGGGGCCGCGGTGGATGCTGGGCTCGCATCGAGGACACTGCCGAAAGGGCTGTCTGCCTCGAGCACTGTCATGCGGAAAGCGACATTCTTGCCATGGCGCTTGCCGGCAGTCAAGCCTTCTGGTGCAGTGCCTTTGCGAAACCGGCATCTCCCTGCTTCTGCTTCAACATGAGCACGTAGCCTCGCATGGCCTTCTCCTCAGCATTTTGCATCTCCACGACCATGATGCCCCCCCTTCATCCCCAATCCTCTTCGTGTGCGTCCATGCCCGTGTCCATTGCGGAATGCCGGCCGGCAGTCGGAGGGCAGCTGCGTGAACGCGCCTAGGGGAGAGCTCCAGATGAATGCATGCAGCGCGCTTCCTCGACTGAGGACGAGACGTGCTGGGCCTCGGCTGGATCTTGCTCGTCCACGTCGATGAAGGTGAACTTGTACCTTGGACAGGGCTTTCAAGCCTCGACGTGCAGCGCGAGTCGTGCGGCATGGTCACCTGATGACCTCAACGCCCCTCCAAGTTCAGGCGGTCGGCTGCAGCTCCAGAGCCATCGCAG